CAGAGGAAAATCCACAGAAATGAGAACTGGGGACTGCCCTTTAAACTTAGTCTTTCATGTTCTATTCAAGATGAGGACTACTTTTTCAGACATTAGCTGACTTGCCTAAAGGGGTTTATCTCCTGGGAGGTCATATTATTTATTGGCTGATCACATACCAGTGACTGCTAATGCATTCCATTAATAGTGCTTACAAGCTCACTTGTCTTTTTAATCTCTAAGGTGTTTGGTGGTTTTAACAAAAAAAATAAAATGTTTTCTTAAATGCTATATTTGTGACTAGTATTAGCAACCCGAATCTTGCTTTTAGTGTACTTAATTTGCTTGATATTGAAAGTAATAACAAATTCTAGAAAAGAGCTATTTTTTAAAACATAAAGAAGCACACAATGAGGGATTATTTCAGCAACTATTTATCAAGTACCTACTATGCATACAGCACTGAGTAGGAAGATAGGGGATATTATTTTCTGGCAATGGTAATAGCTCAGATTTTCAGAATTAGCATATGTTAGTAATTACACACTAAATAGTTTACTCTAGCATGCTATTTCAGTTTTATAACAACCAACCTCATAAGGTAGAAACTATTCTTTTTTCACATTGGCAGCTGATAGACTGATGCCCTTGGAGATTTTAAAGGGACTTTCTCATGGTCACACATGTGTTGGGAAAGTCCTCCTTCTCATTCACTTATTCATTGTGCAGTACTTACTAAACACCTGTGTTGGATTCCAGGGAAAAAGTAATAGACCCCAATGGAAATCCTGTCATTATGAAGCTTAGAGCATAGCAGAGCAGAAGTCAAATGAAACAGGATTACAATAGAGTATGAAGACATTTGCTAACTGAAGAGTAGAGTGTTGGGATGCACTCAATCAGGCCAATAGAGGTTAGCTAGGTATAGGGGTAAGGGAAGTTTTCTATGCAGAGAAAATAGCAGATTAAAACTCTATTTACTCTTGAATACATAGAAAATGATCATTTCTCCATTTTTGCTTTTAATTATTCTGGCTTTGCCTAAAGCCCCTTCCCATTGCCTGGGAGGTAAGCTTAATTGGACCCAATAAATGTGTAAGTCCTTTTAGACAGAGTTCAGTTTTTCCTGGATAAAAGTTTCACTCAATCTCTCAGATGGCATCTCTCCTCCTTCTCTTATAAGACCTCTCCCAGGTAGAAGAGGGAGGATCCTCAGACAATGATAGATCGCTAATCTCTGGAGCCATATGCATTTGTCTGTCCTGCTGGCCTCTCATGCTGTCATCTGCATCCATTGGGCTGTGATCTCATACAGACAGGGTTTTCCGAAGTTCTTCCTGTCAGATTAAGGCTCAGGACAGCGTGGGCTGGAGCTGAGAACACTTGAGTCCAGGTATGCTGCACATTCAGACCTGGCCTTGGCAATCAGCTCCATGCCTCATTATCTAACCCCCTTACCTCTCTAGGTCTCTCTGGCCTGATTCTCAGTTACTTTTTGGCTTTTGGAAACTAGGGTAAAGGTAAAGGTAAAATTAGGTAAAGACCTAACTTTAGCTTTTTCTTCTACTGAATCATGTAGGGTAGCAGTACCAGGGCTCACCCTATTCAGGGCAGCAGCAATGTGAATGAGAGTGGAAGGAAATGCAAGGAGAGGATCTTCTTCCTGCCCTCCTCATTTTCACTTGTTAAAAGCTCATCTTGCTCTCTTACCTTGTTCTCTGCTTCAGCTTTCCACAATTACCCTAAAACTGCAAAGGCTCTCCCTCCCTTTTCTATGCTCTCTTACATGAAACCCTCTGGTATATCCCTGGAAATTCTCTCTTCATATGTGAAAGAGAAGATAAAGCAATTTAGACAGACTTTTTTCAGGAGACACCCTGGCCTTGCTATAAATTCCTATTTTTGAAGGTTAAAAACTGAATATTATGCATCATTGTATTGTATTTTTTTCTGGAATAATAAATCTTAATCACTCCCCAGAAATTTCTCAGGCACATTGGGGTGAAGAACAGGCTCTTCAATTGTGTGTGTGTGTGTGTGTGTATTTTTTCAGAGCTGGGATCAAACCCAGGTACTTGCTTATGCTAGGCAAGTACTCTACCATTGAGCTACATTCTTAGCCCAAAAGTTTCATTTGTACCTCCCCGATAACATAGACAAGAAACATTACTCTTGCATAGTAATATATGTAAGAGAAAGAGTGTGACACATTGAAGGTACTAAAATGGGCTGACCTGGCTAATAGGTAATAGGAAGACAGATACCTACCTACTGAGCACCAAAAGATATTAAAAAGATATTAATCATTAAGATTTATTTTGGTCCACTCTTTGATTTGACTTTAGTACAGAGTGAGAGACAAAAATCTAGTTTCATTCTTCTACATATGGATATACAGGTTTTCCATTTATTGAAGAGACTATCATTTCTTCAACATATGTGGCAACTTTGTTAAAAATCAGCTGGGTGTAACTGTATAAGCTTATTTCTGGGTCTTCTATTCTATTCCACTGGTTAAAATGTCTGGACGAGTACCATGCTGCTTTTCTTACTATGGCTCTGTAGTACAGTCTGAAATCAGGTATTGCATACCTCCAGTATTTTTGCTCAGGATTGCTTTGGCTATTTCAGGTCTCGAGGACTTTAATGTTAAGACCTGAAGCTTTGAAACTACTACAGAAAAACATAAGGAAAACACTAGAAAACATGGACATAGGAACAATTTCCTGAATGGGACTCTAACAGTTCAGCAAATAAGAGAAAGGATTGAAAAATGGGATTACATCAACTAAAAGCTTTGGCACAGCAAAGGAAATAGTCACTAGAATAAAGAGATAGTTTACAGAATTGTAGAAAATCTTTGCCAGATATTCATCTGACAAGGAATTAATAACCAGAGTATATGGGGAGCCCAAACAAATAAACTCCAAAAGAATCAATAATTCAATTAATAAATGGGCAAATGGTTTGAACAGATAATTCTCAAAAGAAGTGTAAGTGGTCAAAAAATTCATGAAGAAACATCTCTGACCATAAAGGAAATGCAAATCAAAATGACATTGACATCATTTCACCCAGTCAGAATGGCTATCATCAAGAACAAAAACAACAACAATTGCTAGCAAAGACGATGGGGAAAATGAATCCCAGAGTTGGTGGGATTGTAAATTAGTACAGCCACTATAGAAATCAGTATGGAGGTTCATCAAAACACTAAACATAGAACTACCATATGACCCAGTGGTACTACACTTGGATATATATATACTGAAGAAAAGAAATAGAGCTTATTGCAGCACTATTCAAGATAGCCAAGCTGTGGAATCAGCCTAGGAGTAGATAAATAAAACATAGTACAAATACTCAATAAAGTATTATTCATCCATAAGTAAGAATGAAATGATGTCATTTGTAGGAAAATGGATGGAATTGATGATCATGTTAAGTGAAACAAGCTGAATTCCAAAGAACAAAGGTCACATATCATCTTTCTCTCATACGCAGAATGTTGACCTAAAATATATGTACACATACACACACACACACACACACACACACACACACACACACACAGAGCAAGACAGAGAGAATGAGAGAGAGAGTGAGTGAGAGAGAGAGAACAAGAGAGAGAGAGAACCAGGTAACGTCTGTAATCCTAGTTACTTAAGAGACAGAGATCAGTTTGAGGCCAGTCAGGGCAAAATGTTCAAGAAACCCCATCTCAATCAATAAAAGCTGGGTACAGTGGTACATGCCTGTTATCCCAGCTACATGGTTAACATAAATAGGAGGATCATGGTCCAGTTCTGCCCAGACATCAATTTGGAGCCCTATCCCAAAACTAACTGAAGCAAAAAGGACTAGGGGCATGGCACAAGTGGTAGACCATTCTTAGATTTTAGTTTGTACCAAAACCTACTGATCATATTAGGCAAAGTGAATCCCATGCCCTCTTACCATGGAGAATAGAATAGAAATATAATTATTATATCATATGCAAATAATAACATTTAGGTATTGCACACTATGAATACATTTAATAGTCAACTATTGCTGAAAGACAAGACTACTAACCAAATAATCTAAAACCCCAACTCTCATTTTGTTAGCTAACTTATGACCGTTTTCTAAAGATGTCCTATAAAAGGTCATTTTGGACTAGGGATGTAGCTTGGTAAAGTGCTTGCCTAGCATACGCTAGGTCCTGAATTCCATCCCCAGCACCACAAAAAAATTATTATTTGTGGTGGTACTGGGCTTTGAACTCAGGGCTTCACATTTGGTAGGCAGGTACTATTTGAGTCACACCTCTATTCCTCTTTTGATCTGCTTATTTTGGAGATAGGGTCTTGCTTTGCTCCCCCAACCTGGCCTGAACCACCATTCTCCTATTTATGCTTCCTGCAGTAGCTAGAATGACAGGTACATGCCACCGCCCAGTTCCTGCCCAGGTCTCATGGACTATTTGTACAGGCTGGCCTGAAACCATAGTCCTCCTCATCTCTGCCATCTCTTTCCCCAGTAGCTAGGATTATAGGTGTGAGCTACTGGTGACAGGCCAAAAAAGATTATTATTAATAAATAAACTTTATTTATTACCTAGGTGTCTGCTTTTATATTGGAAAGTATCACAGAAAGCTACTTTTCTTAAAGCTACTAGTATACCATTTTTAAAATTTAATGCCTGGAAAAAATGTATACTTACATTTGTTTTTAATAATTTTCAATCTAGGCTGTATGTATGGTAGTCATTTTCTTAGAGCAAGGACATCATGAGATCTCAAGATAAATGTCATTTTCCCTGGGTCTGTTTTAGAGTGGGAATTATTTTCTGGGAAGAATAATAGCCCTTCCTATGAGGAGTGTTTAGCTGTTCTTGTTGCTTTTAATTTCAAGCCAAATGAGATACTGATTTTCCCCTATTTTCAATGCACAGAAAAAGCAAGAATGTTGGAAAATAGTCAAGTCACATCACAGTAGTTTGTTACAGCTCAAACACAGACATTTTAAACAAAACTTACCAAAATCTACTAGTTTAACCCCGCCCTCAGTGGTCAATAGGATGTTATTTCCTTTTATATCTCGGTGAATAGTTTTGTTGTTATGCAGATGTTGAAGACCCTAGAAGGTAGGAAATATATAATGAGTATTAAAGCATCAAAAAAGCACATTTTTAAGACAAGGCATTTGTATCAAATCAGTAGGAAACACGTCAAAATTAGCATTCAAACACTTTTAAATGTTTCACATTGAGTTACTCAAATCAAAGTGCATCATTTCTACTTTGGATTATGTAAAAATACACAAGACCAGAGCATGTCACATACTTCTTTAACATAATGGCAAGTATGACAAAAATTTCAGACTTTGCATTTACTTTTTCATCAATAAATACTGATGCAGTGATATTTTTCTAAAAACAGGGGACACATTTTTAAATTAGAACTACCTCATAATTAATGCACAAAGAATTTAAATTGCCTTACCATTAGTGCTTCATGTAAAATATAGGCAATTATAGGCTCACTCATTCTTTCTCCCCTCTTCAGAAATCCTTTTACAAGATCAGTCACGGATCCTCCATTGCACAGCTGAAAATGAACATTTCAAGATGGACATTTAAAAGGACATGACATTTTAAGTTCTTGATATAAAAAAGTTTTCCTAAAACACTTTAAAATATTAATCCAAGAGGCTGAGTGCAGTGGTTTGTGCCTGTAATCCCAGTTGCTCAGAAGGCAGAGATCAAGAAGTCTGCAGTTCAAGGCCAGCCCAGGCAAAAAGTTAGCAAGACCCATTTCAATTATGAAGCTGGGTGCAGTGATGCACACCTGTGATCCAACTATGTGGGAGGCCATAGGTAGAAGGACTGTAGTCTGAGAACCCATGTGGGCAAAAATGCAACCTGAAAAGAGTTTGGGGACATGGCTTGCCTAGCAAGTGCAAGGCCCTGAGTTCAAGCCCCAGTACTACCAAAAAGGGTCATTCCAATTTTCTGTTTTAAATGATTGCTCTTAACTATTCACAATAGCCAAGTTATGGAAACAGCCAAGATGCCCCAGCACTAACGAATGGATTAAGAAAATGTGGTATCTATACACAATGGAATTTTATGCAGCCATGAAGAAGAACGAAATGTTATCATTCGCTGGTAAATGGATGGAATTGGAGGACATCATTCTGAGTGAGGTTAGCCTGGCCCAAAAGACCAAAAATCATATGTTCTCCCTCATATGCGGACATTAGATCAAGGGCAAACACAACAAGGGGATTGGACTTTGATCACAAGATAAAAGCGAGAGCACACAAGAGAGATATGAGATAGGCAAGACACCTAAAAAATTAGTTAGCATTTGTTGCCCTCAACGCAGAGAAACTAAAGCAGAATACCTTAAAAGCAACTGAGGCCAATAGGAGAAGGGGGACCAGGAACTAGAGAAAAGGTTAAATCAAGAAGAATTAACCTAGAAGGTAACACACATGCACAGGAAATTGTGAGTCAACTCCCTGTATAGCTATCCTTATCTCAACTAGCAAAACCCTGTTCCTTCTATTATTGCTTATACTCTCTCTTCAACAAAATTAGGCCGGTTGTGGTGGCGCACGCCAGTAATCAACGAGGTGAAGAGGAAGAGGCAGGAGGATCACGAGTTCGAGGCCAGCCTGGGCTACACTTCTAAAATGGATCGTTATGTGTACACAGGATTTAGGACAGTCCAGCTGTACTGCTTGTTGCTATGGATGATTTTGTTCTTTGCTTCATGTGTTTGTTTCCTGTAATGCACATGTTAACTTAATAAAGGTTATTTTAAAAACCTGAAAAAAAAAACACAAAAAAACAAAAAACAAAATTAGAGATAAGGGCAAAATAATTTTTGCAGGGTATCGAAGGGGAGGGTGGAGAGGGAAGGGGTGAGGTGGGTGGTAAGGGAGAGGGTGGGGACAGGGGGGAGAAATGACCCAAGCCTTGTATGCACATACAAATAATAAAAAAATAAATAAATAAAAATAAATGATTGCTCTTATTATCTTTATGATTTTGCAAAGAGTGAACATAAACAGTTATACTTCTATACAATTGTGATTATTGTAACACAGTTTTTGTGTAAATTAATTTTCAGAAGAGATTTGAAGAAATACTGGGTTTGCTTGATTTTTAAATTTGAGAATAAGAATTGTGATTCTACAAATTATTCCCTAATTTTAGGATGCAGGGCTTATTGATTAACAGTGCAATAAATTCTATGGCCTCAATACACAGCTACATATTATTTCACATGTACAGTAATTTTAAAAATGCATCCTTGGAAGGGAGGATGGGGGAAGAGAAGTGGAGGGCGAATTAAAGTACGATATATTTGATACATTGTAAGAACCTTTGTAAATGCTTCAGTGTACCCATACCCAGCACAACAATGAAAAAATCTAAAACATAAATAAATGAATAAATAAAATAACAATGTACTCTTTTTGGCAAAATTTGAGAATGCAATGAAGTAAAGATTACAAATAATACTTCAGGAAACCATAAAAATTTTTATGTTTCCTTGTTCTTCAACACCCTCCCTTCTTACCCCAAAATGCAGAAAGAATCTAAATAGAGAAAAATAGGAAGGAATATGGTAGGGGAATTTTTCATATCTGAATCCTCACAGTTAGGTAATACTAAATTCCACAGAAAAGTTTCAAAGGAGCTACACTATTTACAAAACAGATTATACTGATATTATCAGTGAATATGAGAGATAATGTTATTTAGTCAATGGTTCTGGACCAAGAGAAGGTCTCAGGATGCTTTGATCAATCCTTGATCCCTGATGGCTGATAATTTATCATTTGCCTTCAGCCTTGCCCATCCCTGCAGGGCTGTTGTTTGGTCTCTCTCACCCTGATCTATTGGACCTCCTTTCCCATCTGGCCTTTAGTACCCACCAGTGCCTTAGAATTAAAAGAGTCATCATTTCCCTGGCCCACCTCTAACTCAAGTGCAGTCAGGGAAAGTATGTGAAAGCAAGTGTAGTTTTAGCATCCTAGTTTTGAAATACTGAGTAATTTTCTCAAAAGTTTTTTAATGTGGTGATTAAGCCTTGCTGGATGTCTGCACACTTCTGGTACATTATGAATCAGACAGTAACAAATAAGGTGCACTCACCACTCACTTGATGCCAGGAATATTTCTAATCAATTTATGTGAATTAATTCTAAACCTTGTCATTCTCTGAAGTAGATATTGTCATCTCCATATTAAAGATGAAGAAACAGAATCACACTTAAAATTGGTATCTTTCTATAGTCAAAGAAAATGGTTTTCAGCTTATACAAAAATATGTAGAGTCTATCATTTCAAGACTTTCATTTTCATTTGTATCTGGAAGGGGAATGCCCTTTTAGCTGGATAAATGCCAGAGTGTTGCTACCCTGTAAGTAGAATGCAGGATCAGACTGCCTCTACTGTGGCCCAGCATGATTCACAAAATTACTTCACAACTGACTGAAAAGAAATTGAGTCTTTTAAAATGCCAAGCCACTTTTTTAAAAAAAGGACTCAGGTTTGAGAACTAGCTTTAAACTTCCTAAAAATCACTGCAGGGAGGCTAAATTTCTTTTCCTGTTTCTCTAAAATGTGGCCTCTCTATAGTTGCACTTTCTGCAGTTGACTATTGAAAAAATGTGAAAATTATCAGAATCAAAATGGAGTCACCTATGTCAAGTCTACCAAAAAAATAAAGCTGGAAGGTTGTGAAGAAAGAGTTCTTATGCACAACTGCCTGCTAGTAGCTCTCACAAAAGACTATCAGAACTACAAACTTGCGTAAAAGTCACCACAAACTTATACAAAAGTACTTCTGCAAGGACATCTGTCCAGCAATTGTCCATTCAACCTCAGAATGATAATACTTGTTATTAATCATTGTGCCAAGGATTATTGCTTCAGAATATCGATGGAATCCTCCTTTTTGTCTTTAAAAACTTCTTTTCTCCACCTCTTTGAATACACCCATAATTTACTAGGGCATGTGTAATCCCACTGCAATGTTCTGATTTCCAAAATAAACATCCATGTTTTTTGGAGAAAACCTGATTGTTTTACTTAGGTTGACACCATATTATGTTAATGAAAGGGTCAACTGTGTGGCTTCCTTGACTTGGGATATAAGTTTCAGATCCATTTGTGCTATTGCACATTCTTTTTAAGATGATGTTTTAACCTGGATTCTTCTTTTAATGCTGAGTAGTCCACTGGATGGATGAGTCACTGTTTATCTGGTACTAAATGAAAAACACAAGTCGTTTCCAGTTTTTAGCAATTATGAGTAAAACCTCTGTCAACATTATTGCATAGGTTTTCATGTGATCTAAGTTTTCATTTCTCTTGGGGAAGTACCTGAGAAGAAATTTCTGAGTCCTACAAGTCATATGTTTCAAGGTATCGACATTTGCCAAACTGCTTCCCAAAGTGGTTGTACTATTCTGCATCCCACAAGCAATGTATGAGAGTTCCATTTGCTCCACAGCATTACCAGCACTTGATTTTGTGAGGTGTTTTCTTAAAAGCATGGCGAATAGTAGTGGTGTCTCACTATGGTTTTAATGTGGATTTGCCTAATGACTAATGGTGTTGATCATCCTTTCCTGTACTGATTTGTCATCTATATATTTTTTGGGGGGAAGTATCCAAACTTTTTGTTCATTTTTTGTTGATTGGTTGTTTTCTTGTTATTGAAATTTGAGAATTCTTTAAATAATCTGAGTAGAAATCCTTTATCAGATGGGTGTTTTGTGTTTTCTTCCAGGCCATGTGTTGCCCTTCTCTCTCTCTCTTTCTCTCTCTCTCTCTCTCTCTTTTTTGGTGATACTGGGGTTTGAACTAGGGCCTTGCACTTGCTAGGTAGGTGCTCTACCATTTGAACCACTCTGCAAGCCTTTTTTGTGTCAGGCATTTTCAAGATAGGGGCTCAGTCTTGCAAACTATTTACCTAGGCTGACTTCGAACTGTGATCCTCTTAATCTCTGCCTCCTGAGTAGCTAGAATTACAGATGTGAGCTGCTGGTGCCCGACCACACCCAGCTTTTATTAGTTGTGATAGGGTCTCAAGAATTTTTTGACTGGGCTGAACTTAAACTGTCATCCTCCTGATCTTGGCTCCTGAGTAGCTAGGATTACAGGTGTGATCCCCCATACCCACCTTCATGTTAAGTGTCTTGTGAAGAGAAGAAGCTCTAAATTTATCATTTAAAAAATTTTATGGAATGTACTTTTTGTGCTATGTCTAAGAAATCTTTGTCTTATCTAAGGTCACGAAACTTTTCTCATATAATTTCTTTAGGAAATGTTATACCTTTTTGATTTTACCTATAGGTAGGTCTGTGATCCATTTGACTTAATTTTTGTATATGGTGTGAAGTATGGGTTGTGTATGGTTGTCCAATTATATAGCACACTTGTGTATTCAGCAAATTGTCCGAGAAACAGAAGATGCAACTCTGAACTGAGTTTAAAATCTAGCTGCCAATGTCAAGAATGGGCAGATCTTAAGTGCATATTGCTAAGTGAAAGAGGCAATCTGAAAAGGCTACCTACTGTATGATT